TTAGAAGCTCAAACAGGAAAACTTAAATTACTATAAAGAAGAAAAAAAAACAGATAAAAGTAATAAAGAGGGAAAATAAATAAGTTAATTAAAAATAAATAACTAAATAATAATTTTTAAAAAAATGATGGGGCCTGGAACCAGAAATTTCTGCTTTTTGATGTTTCCTTAATTCAAATTAGTAAACCTTTAAGTTTGTCTGATTGTGTCCTCTTTTGCACCATGGATGCGAGCAGTGGATATTTCCAGATACGCAATATCAAGAAAAGTTAGATCCAGTGATGGTGATTAAGAGAATGTGGAGGCTTCCAACTTGTTGCAACTATTTTTTGGCTGCTATCAAGCCAGATAAAAACACTCGCTTCTGAATTTTGTTAAGCTGGATATCAGAAAAATCAGCTAAAATGAAAACAGAGGGGGCAAGAGGGACTGAAACGTTTTGAAAAGTATTGAAGACAAATTTTGTTTAACCATATTCCAAAAATAACCAAGCCTAGGACAGTCCCAAATCATGTGAAAGAATGTAACAGTTTCACCTGTATACAGAGAGTTTAGGATTTAGGATCAGGTTTAAGCTTCATGCTATAAAGTTTGCATGGAGTGAAATAAGTGAAGGAGTGAAGTGAAGTTTAAATGAATCTCTTGATGATTCGGATTCCTGGATGCAAGCGGGATGATTGTTTCCTATATTTTATGCGGATGCGCTCCCCTAAAGATTCTTCCCATTCAATCTAAAATTATATATTATTTCCAAATAGTTATTCAACTCATCTAGTGAAATTGTATTCATATCGCAACATATATCACAGAATTAAAACATTTAATTTTCGATTTTTCCACAATCGTGCAGCCCTAGCTGATGCCCTTATGAACATTTGTATGTCTTGTTTTGTCTGTGTTGCCCTGCAATACCATTTCCAACAACATTTTGCGATGAGGATTCTAGGTTACTCTGCGTCTGTGTTTTGAGTTCAGTGGTATAGTTCAAACTCACCCTCATTCAGTTGTTTGATCAACAAAGGTACAGCAACTTTCATAGAATACACAAAAAACTGGAAATATGACTTTGCCAATTGTATTGTACAAAGATAATCTAAAAATTTAAGATATTTAAAAATGTGTAATATAAAAACTAGGGTTGGGCAAAAATGAATTGTGATTATTTGTATCCAAAATAAAAGCTTGCTCTGACATAATTTAAGTGTGTGTGTACTGTTTATATTAATTATGTATATATATATATAAACACACACATGTATGTGTATTTTTGAGAAAATGTTTATTTATATTTAGATATAAAATATATGTGTATATATAAATTATATTTAAATTTAAATATCTATTATTTAATATGTGACAAAATATATTTGTTTGTATGTATTTGTGTGTATCACATAAACAATAAATATATAATACACACACATATTCTGTCAAAGCAAACTTTTAATTTGGACAAGATTAATCACGATTAATATTTGCGCAGCACTATTAACTACCAAGTAATTTTTTTTCTATATTTTTTAAAGAATATTTATATAACTGAAGTAAAACATATATTTAAAAAAAACTAAATTTAATATATATTTATATAAATGTACACAAGTAAATATCTTAACCATCAGCAAAAATGATTGCAGTTTCCATGTGGGACTTCCAATGACTAATCCGAATTTATAGTGGTGTTTCCCCATTTTTCCGTACATAGCATAATATGTTCAATCCACCCATCCACCCCACCTTTCCCTAAAACAGCTCATTGTTTAGTCTACTCGTCAGTTTTTAGTCTCTGTTGGCAACAGGCAAACATGTAAAGACCTCTCACACCACAGAATCCAAACAGCTCTTCTGGAACAGGATCTCCCTCAGCAGAAAAAGCAGGACAATAACAGTCAGTGATTCCCCTTGTTTTCGTGCCAGGTGTCAGAGACGCCTGAGAGGAATGTACGCTTGACCCAGCTGCATTAGGAAGGCCTGTGAGGGAATGTTATGACGTAAAGGACGCAGAGAAGTGTGAGGAGGTGGTTATCTCCTCTCCCGGCCTGTGGAATTCCTAAACTGGGCTGTTTTTGGAACATGACTCACTTTTTTTTTTTTGCTCATTGGGATCTGTTTCTCCTCCTGTTTGTTCAGTCAAACCGCTCTCACAGTTCTGAAGTGACATTCTTCTCATGCTTGTTTTTAGAGCTGACATGTGTTCAAACAGGCCCAACCTTCTTGCATCAAAAAAGCTGTCATGACGTTAGTTTTTAAAGTCAGTGAAAGTCTGACAAAACCTACAAGATGACACTCGCTTTTTTTCCACTGTAGAAGAGAAAAACAGAAAAGTTACTCATCGTTTACTCACCCGGTTATGTGCGAGTTGCTGTTTTGGTTGTTGTTAATGTTGAATATAAGATAGATAGTTTGAAGAATGATAAACTCCATTTTCCAACATTCTTCTAAATATCTTCCTTTTTTTCAATAGAACAGAGAAACTCAAACTAATTAGGAACAAGTGGAGACAATGACCATTTTCATTTTTATGTGAACTGTCTCTTTAATTGTAAGCAAGACAAATGTAGAGTTACTGTTTGTGTTATTGTTTTAACATTGAACTTAAACGAAGATGGTTTGAAGAATGATGAACACCATTTTCCAACATTCTTCAAAGTATTTTCTTTTTTTTTCAACAGGACAGAAAAACTCATACTCATTTTTCATTTTTGTGTGAACTGTCCCTTTAACTATGAGCAAAAAAATGTAGACTAAATAATACACAAGAATGCTGATATCAGGCAAATAAACAGCAGAACATTGAACCCTGACTATTTCACATTTGTCTCATCTGCTGGAGTTATATATTATTATATAGTTTATCAAATGATAAATGTTAAAACTTTTCATCGATAATTAGTATCAATTCAAGTCTAACGGGCACAAACAGAAGTGTTTCAATCACTGGTGGAGGAGCAGACAGCCAGATTAGGCTGAATTATGTTTATTTATTTTTTAATATTTACTAAATATATTCCGCTGCTGGCTGGAAGGGCGTCTGCTGCATAAAACATGTGCTGGATAAGTTGGCGGTTCATTTCGCTGTGGCGACCCCTGATTATTAAAGGGACTAAGCCGAAAAGGTTTCACTGCTGACAGATTTTTGTTTAATTATCATTTTAATTCATATCATAACTAAAAACTTAATACATGAAATCAGCAAATAATACCTTTTTAACTTTTATTTATTACTTTTACAATGCAAATCCAATTAGATACACTTATTTGGTAAACAAAGCAAGTCTCATATAATATCTCTACATCTCTGAAAGAGAGTAAATATCACTTTACAAACTGTTTTGTAAATAAATTATATAAACATTTTAATATTAATATTTTTATATCACAATAATATTAGTGAAATTAATTTAAAAACTAAATGAACATAAATTTACACACATTTACACAAGTAAATACATAGACTGTATGGTGGGCAAAAAAAATCCGTGGAAATCTACAGATTTCTGCAAGTGCAGATTCTGTGTGGGCCTATCAATAACTAATCAGTTGTTTTATATAATCTGTTGTGTTTTTATACTGTATGCAGCATTACTATCAGAGCTTGTAGTTTTGTAGTCATTACTTGAAGGTGTTGTAGTTGTTTACTCATATTTTAATACAAATATATATATATATATATATATATATATATATATATATATATATATATATATATATATATATATATATATATATATATATATATTTTAAATGTGTAGAAATTATATATAATTTATTGTGTAATAATATTTAAGTGTCACATTATTCAAAAACATTATTTAGTAACACTATATATTTGATAATTATTTCATAATAAATAAATAAAAATTTTATTGTACATTTTTTCTTTACATTTCTTACTCATTATTTTGCACAGGCACACACTTTTTATATATAAAAAATGAGCCACAAAAACATCTGCATGTGCCTTTTCTATTTATGACATCCTAACATTGAACTCAGACATCCCAATGGGGCAGATGAATCATACTTGTCTTTATTCTGTAGCATACCATGTCTTTTTCATGCCTCTCTAGGGAGTGGTGTCATTCTTGACCTTACCCCACCCTCAAGACTATCAAAAGTTGTTTTATATCCATGCTATCAGCAACACCAGATAATTAACAAGTACTCAGACTGTGATGATCAATGAGAGTTAAATATCTAGTCTAAGGCTACATTATACTGGATACGTTTAAAGCATGTCCAATTTAAAATACTCTCGTAAGAATTAGGCAGAGCCCAAGATTATTGTAGATAAACCAACTACAAATGAACAGATTTTGTTACAATACACAGTAGTTGTAGTAAACATAGTTGTAGTAAAACTTTATATACAATAAATGTTAATCAATGTGGCAAAAAAAACCTGGTTGCTACATCTTTAATTTTTTTAACAATGATTAATATTAAAATAAATGAACTATTTCACTATTTCCCAAGATTCCTGTTCAATTTTAAGTTGGAAATGCTTAAAATGTTGTAGTTTGCTTATGTAAATTGTAGCTTTGTTGAGTTGAATTGTTAATGTTGGCTTGAGAATGTTTACATTGATACTTCATTAATATTTAGCACATTTCAAGCATGTTTTAACACATTTATGAAATGACGATATGTTTTTAGCATATTTCTACCTTGTTTTAGCACATAGCTAACGTGTTTTAGCATAACATGCTAAATGTAAAGCCTACATAAAACTACTTTAAAATCTCCTGACAAGCTGAAGAGTGTATTAGTGTAGCTGTTGCCAAAGGCTTTCTGATGGCTATGAGTAAAACCTGCTGAATTTATGAAATGCGTTTCATGTCACAGAAAAACACATGCTTTGTTACATAACTTGTCCTAGGCACTTAATTAACAGGCTGTTTACTTCCAATACAATGCATACAGACTTTGCACTGAGTGAGAGTCATGGCTCAATATGGATTGTGGGCCGTTATTGACATTTAGGTTTTTTTTCTGCACAGATTGAACGCCGTATGGAGTTGGTGCGGGTCGTTTCGCACAACACGCACAAAAAAATGGCTGTGTGTTTGCAGGGGCAGATTGGCACTGATGCTGAGAAGAGACATGTAAGGGCATTACCGGTGCTTATGGCTGCACAAAATGTCAGTCATCATTGCATATTTTGGATGTATTGTTGCACAAACTCAGTGTGTTTCTGTCACAGAAAAAGCTTCCACTGACAGCGCTGTCACAGGCCATGCAGGACGGTGGGAACCAGCTGGGGGAGGAGTCTCTGATTGGGTAAAATGGCATGACATCATCATCGATTTACAATTAAGTCTGCTTCTTTGTTGTTAAATCGGAAATTGATTAGCTCTTTGTATTATTAATATGAGATGATGACTCAAAAAAGTTGCCTAGCTTGATCATTAAATTGTTGTAAAGTGGATAAAACATTTATAATATTACAAGATTAAATGTTATTAATTGTCATGCGATCATGAGATAAGACAAAATGCTTGTAAATTATTAATTAATTTATTAATTAGTTTATTTATTTATTTATTTTTGTTTATTACTGTTCTGAGCAAGGTATTTTAATAAAAGTTGTTTTCATATAGTCCACAAGACAGAAAAAATACCTGAAATTATTTGAGTGATCAAATTTTTTTGTGGAAAACCAGATATATCTGAAGTTGTAACTTAATAGAAGAAACTATCCATACGCAACAAGTCATAATATTAGAGTGATTTCTGAAGGACTTTGTGAGACTGTCATAATGACTGAAGGTTTTGCTCTGTCGTCACAGGAATAATTTTCATATTAAAATGTATACACAGAGAGAGATGTTTTTCTAAGTAAGATTAAAAAATGGTTTAAGCCTTGTTTTAAGAAACTAGAGTATTTTGGTATCTTCTGTGCAGGAAGATGATGGAGATGTGTGGAGATGCGGAGAACAGACTGGCCTCAGAGCTGATGCAGCATGAGATGAACATCGAGAAGGAAATCTTAGACCCCCTTAATCAGCTAGCAGAGGTACACACTGTCCTTTATGGATTATGCTAGCACATTTCCCCAATTTTTATTAGGCAGCCACTAAATTTACAGCTGCCAGAAGTTGTCATCTGAAAATGACATTTTCAAAATTCAGACAAAAGAGAAAAATAAGCCATTAATTCAATGGCTTGTGCCACTCAAGGGTGGTTTGTTTGTTGGTGGTTTGTTTGTTGTTTGTTGTTTAAGACCGTACTCACACTATGTACAGTTGCTTTGAATCGGGCCAAAACACGCTTGTCCCCCCTCCCGTCTCCCCCGATGGCCCGAAATATTTGACTGTGTGCCACCGCATTTCAAACAACTAAAACATTATTACAAGAGAAATCTCCACTGTGCTGGGCGAGAGCTCTTCTCTACTGAACAGTGCATCATCGATGACGTAATCGTGTAATGTGATGTGAGTGCGGGCTAAATAACTCACTGACAGGACATTTCTATGTGGTATACTTGTTTCTGCTGCTTACAATAGCACTGCTCCGCTATCATGACATTTGCTAATTTCACACATACAGACCTCTCCGGAAAACTACTGGCGATTCTTTTTGAAAATCCCGGTAAATTCGTTTTGGCAATTTTCAAGAAAGAGAAGTTGTAACATTACTGGTAATTTGCCGGAATGCTGCGCTGTGTGAACGCAGAGGGAAGATTGCCGAAAAGAGCATGTTCATGTCTAGAACGTGCTGATGTGAGACAGCTACTTTAGCCAATCAGAACATCAGACACATTCACATCCACTTGGTTTATGAAAATAAAAGCCTTTGTATATTTTTCCAGACACATTTACACATAGCTCTGTTTGTGTACCTTCAAGCTCTGCTTCAGTTATTTAACACATGTGCACATGAAGCAGCCGGTGAGTGCCAGCACACACGCATATATTACAAACATTTTGACATTTGAAAATGTTCCTCCATATCTTTTCATATAAGTTGTTCACTTACCAATCCACAGAATTTGTAATGTAATCAAGTGTGTAAACATTTAGCTGCAGTTTGTGTTTCTGCTTTTGGATGTCTCACAAAGCAGCTGCATAAATGATAAAGCTTTAAATAAAAGTGAAATCACAGGATCCCTTCTACACAAACCCTTTTATGTTTACAAATACAAGCACAGTCATTTAGAGCTCATTTCTGGTTAATGATGTCAGAATTTACTGGTATTTTGAAATGGATGTGTGAATGGTCTTTTCCGGAAAAATTCCTAAACGACCGTGCCTGTGTGAACAGCGCTTTTTTGAATTAACAAATAAAGTCGTTCCAGATATTTTTCGGAGATTTACCAGTATCATTGTGTGAAAGCGGCTAATGCTGGTATAAAGACGCCTCTCGACTCGTTCACTGACAATTAAATTTTACTGTCAATAAAATGTGCTTGTTTTATCGGCTTGTGTTTTTAAATGTAAAAAAGTTAAAAATGAAATAATATCTATTTATAACATAGAATTTTTTACTGTAGGCCAATGTATCCAGAAATTTGGCTTTGTTTTTGGCCTGGAATTTTTATTTTGGTGCATCCCTAGTGTTTATATTTACATATTTGGCCATGATCTTACACTTTTAACACTATTAGTCAACCAATGTGTTTTATTACACTGGGGAATTGCTAGCACTTTTCTAAAAACACTCAACTGTGAGACTTCTAAAAAAAAAATTTTTTTAATTAAAAAAAAAAAAAAAACGGAGAGTAAAAAAAAAAAAAATCCATCCTTAGTACCTGCCTACACTGTCGTCCTTTAAAGAAAACATGGTAATTGGAAACTGGACATGCTCCCTTAAGGGTAGTTCAGTTCAGTTCTAATTTGGTGAACTTTAATCCGGACATAAATTCTGACCAAGCACAATTAGTGTTTACAGTGTAATTTTAAGGCTGAACCTAAACATTACAAACAAATGCTTTTATGATGTATATTTTGTGACAAAACTTACTAAACATGCTGGGCTAAATGTCCTCAAATGGCCTTGTAAAGAGAAACACACACACATACACATAAGTTTTAATCAACAATAAATTTTCAATCATAAATCAACATACAGACTGTCACAAGGGGGGTGTGGCTGACAGCCGTGAGAATGGAGTGAGGCCAGTTGTACTTGTTAATGAGGATCACCTGTTCACGCACCGGTTTTAAGTCTCACAGAGGAGCACAAGCATAAAAGGAGGAGTGACGACAGAGGAAGATGAGAGAGGATAAGGCCTGGACACTTGTTGTGTTTGCTTTCAGTTTTGTGGCCACAGGGGACTGCCTCCACCCATTTGTTTTATGTTTATTTATGTAATGCAATTATTTAAAGTTCTTCCATTCTCCCCCTCCATTTTCCCGATGGCCAGGAGCCCATCAAACTTCATTACACAGACGTTATCTTCCAGTTATGTATCAACAACAAATCTATTAATAATAATAATTTAATTTTGTTTGTAAATAGCGCCTTTCTGGACACCTAAGGTCGCCTTAATATAAGCATCAACAGCCATACCAGAACAAATTACAACAATTAATAAAACGTTGCCAAACAAAGTGTAAAATACATGTAAGGGGTTGCAGGTACAAACGCATCGTGAGTATAAAATAACAAGAAAAAGCATAGTCAAAAGAAAGCCTGCTTAAAAGGATCTTGAGATGACATTTAAAAGTGTAAAGACTTCCATTGCTCCTTAGGTGGAGGGGAAGCTAGTTTCATAGCCGAGGAGCTGTGGAGATAAAAGATCTGGCTCCTATTGTGTCTAATCGAGTGCAAACTGGCATCAGGAAAAAAAGAGATTGCTGATCTAAGAGTGCAAGAAGGGGTACAAATATGGAGAAGTTCAGTGAGATATTGAGTAGCAAGAGTATGAAGTGCCTTGAAAGTGAGAAGTAGCAGTTTAAAATCAATATGAAACTTCACCGGAAGCCAGTGAAGCTGAAAGAGAAGTGGTGTGACATGCTTATGAGATGAAGTCCTAGAGATGACATGAGCTGCATGGTTCAGAACCAGTTGGAGTTTATGTCGAAGTTTATAAGGAAGCTCGGTGAGAAGTGCTTTACAGTAGTCTAGATGTGAAGCAACTAATGCATGGATGAGAATTGCTGTGTTATTGGTTGTGAGAGAAGGATGGAAACGACTGATATTGTGCAGCTAGAAATATGCAGTACGCATAGTATTATTGAAACGCTTCTAACGAGAGTGAGCTATCCAAGTTGACACACAAGCTCTTGACCCGCAGAGAGGGATAAATTGTGCTATTATTAATTTCTATTGTAAAATTATCAGATTTATCCAAAACACTTTTAGTCCCAATGAGTCCAATATTAAATTGAACTGTATTTTTGACAGAATAAGAGGGGGAAAAACACCAGAAATCAGAAGCATTTTCTATAAATAAATATATATCTATTTAAAATATCAAGCTTTAAACATTTTTAAAGAGCACTTGTGACTAATTGCATTTAGTAGGTGTGCTTATACTTTCTCGTGTGGCACAAATTCAAATCTCTGTGTGCTTGCTTGTCTTTACTTGTTTCAGGTCATGAGAACATGACTTTTCATTCATTCATTTCGTTTTCGGCTTAGTCCCTTTATTAATCAGGGGTCGCCAAAGCGAAATGAACCGCCAACTTATCCAGCATATGTTTTACGCAGCGGATGCCCTTCCAGCTGCAATCTATCACTGGGAAACACCTATACACTTTTATTAATACACATAAACAACGGACAGTTTAGATAACCCAATTCACCTATAGCACATGTTTGGACTTTGGGGGAAACCGGAGCACCGGAAGGAAGCCTGCACGAACACAGGGAGAACATGCAAACCCCACACAGAAATGCCAACTGACCCAGCTGAGGCTTGAGCCAGCAACCTTCTTGCTGTGAGCCAACAGCACCACCCACTGCGCCACCGCGCTGCCAAAAACGTGACTTGAATTGCTTAAAATATAATAAACGTTAAAGGGATAATCTTCACCCAAAAATAATTTTCTCACCTTTTACTCTAAACTTTTATGAATTTCTTTCTTCCACTAAAAAAAAAAAGATACTAAAGATTGTTAAAAAATTGACATCTATAGTCGAAGCAACAAATCCTTTAGAAGTCAATGGCTGTTTTTTCCCCCAATATTATTATTTTTTTCAGTTTGTATATCTTCATTCGTGTTGAACAGAAGAGAGAAACTCAAACAGGTCTGAAAGAACAGGAGGTTGTGTAAATGATGGCAGACTTTACATTTTTTGGGTGAACTGGCCCTTTAACTATAATAAATAAATGAATGTAAAAACAGATAAAATAATATTCTCACCAAGTCTTATTTTAGATGCTGTATTTCATTTTTTTTTTTCATTTCTTTTTTTTTTCCATCTCTTATTAATAGTACAATTACAATGTTGTTAGCCAGTTTGTTTATATCAGTATGTTTTAATGTTTATCTTTAATATCAATGTCTATCATAATCTTCTTGTTTTGTCAGTTTGACATTCCTAACATCCTGAAACAGAGGCGGCAGTTAGCCAAGCTGGTTCTGGACTATGATTCTGCCCGGGCAAGGTAATTTTTCTTTTACACATATTATATATAAATATAATATCTCCATATAATAAATATGGTTTTATTATAAATTGTATTAGATTTTTTACCCACCTAACAACTAAAATGGTCTCTTTACAGGTGGTTGCAGGCGACCAAGTCAATAATCTCAGGAACAAACACACAAGCACTGACAGCCAAAGCAGACTCGCTTAAAGAAGAAGTTGACGAAGCTATGAACAAAATGGAGCTGTGTAAGGTACTGATGGATGGACAAGCATAAACATGCCTTACTCTCATGAGTCGCTTTAGTTATGGATTTTAAAAAATGGTGGCAGGGGTGCAAGGAGCATCTCAAACCTCATTGGCTTGGCTTAGTTCCTTTATTCAACAGGGGTCTCCACAGCAGAATGAACCGCCAACTTATCCAGCATATGTTTTACACAGTGGATGCCCTTCCAGCTGCTATCCAGTACTGGGAAACACCCATACACACTCATTCACACACATACACTACGGCCAATTTAGTTTATTCAGTTCACCTATAACATATATTTTTGGTCTTGTGGGGAAAACCGAAGCACCCGCAGGAAACCCACGCAGAAACTCCACACAGAAATGCCAACTGGCCCAGCCAGGAGGTGAACCAGCAACCTTCTTGCTTTGAGGCGACAGTGCAAACTACTGACCCACTGTGTTGTTACACCAAGCTGAGTATAAAACCCATGCTTTTAGCCTTAGATTCTTCCCATTCAACAGATATATACACTAGATATCGCATATGCACCCTGAGCAAGTGTCAATAGCGCCACCACATTTGTACAGTGCTTCCAGGACAAATGTCATTCAACCACACTAGTCAAGAATAAAGCCAATGTGAAGATGCTGGATAAATGCGCACAAAATTAGGTGGATGGAAAGATATTGACATCCAGTCAATGACTACCTTTTCTATTTTGTGTTGTCGAAATTAAAAATGCTATCAGCATTTACTTAACCTTGACTTGTTCCAATCCTGTTCAGGGTGAGTAAACAATGACAGAATTAGGATTTGTGAGTGAACTATCAATTTAAGAAACAAAAATCTCCCAGCTCAAGCTCAAATCGGACCAGACATTAGTTTAGTTTAACACGAAATTCATCTGGCTTGTAGTCGAACTGTTGAGTTACGGTATGCTGACTGATTTATGACTTGGTGATTGTTTTAACTGCAAAAATTCGATGTGTAATCAGTATTCAAATTCTAAAGAAGTTATAACTCCAACAGAAGCCTTTTTTTCCCCTGACAACAGTTAAGACTCTGCGTGTGTGCTCCTGTACATCACCACTTTGAATGCTAGAGAACACATTACTGATAAAACGTATAGCTGAGTACAAGCCAATCTGGATAAAAGCATTTGCCAGAAGCATAATGTAATTTTGCATAATATAATGTAGCATAATTTGTCAAGAGGTTACCACAGTGCGTATTCCCTGTAATGTCCAATTTCAATCTCTGCACAGTCAAATGCAATCCAAAATTTTAAATTTTTTTTATTTTTCAGGATCAGCTTTCAGCAGATATGTACAACTTCTTCTCAAAGGAGGCAGACTATGCCCGCTACTATGTAATGGTAAGAAGCCTTTTGTTTGTCATCCGCTGATTCAATAACTCAGTTGCTATGTTTATCCCAGTTCAGTTCCATGTTTATTTTGCCCATTGTTCATTCTGCTGTGTGTCAATGTCTGCTCTGTTCTCAGTTATTAGAGGCGCAGGCGGATTACCACAGAAAATCTCTCACCTTGCTCGAGAGCGTCCTGCCAAACATTCAGGCTCAACAAGGTGACGACACACATTCTTGATGTTTCTAAGAACCTAAAAATTATATCAGTGAAACCTTTTAGTGAATAATGGGCAAATGTAAAAACACACTGCATGTTTTTGAATTACTGGCGACGTGCACAGTGCTGATAAATAAAGTTGTCATTCACTTTTTAGTGCTTAATACTGTTTTACACACACTTCTGTAATTTATAGGAGTAACAACCAGTGTTGGGTAAATTGCTTTAAAAAAGTAATGAATTTCTTATTACATAATTGAAGTTGTTTCTAATTACTTATTACTCTGTCTGAAAAGTAATTTATTTACCAAATAAGGATTTATTTTTTACTCAATACATCACAATATGCCACAATTTTGTAACAGTTATATAAAATGAAACGTTTTTCCTTCTAAAATCTAGTCCAAATCTGGTCTTTAAGCTTTATTTTAAAAAATAATACTTAAGCATTTTAATAAAAAACATAACATTATTTAGTTAAGAAACATAAATACTCAGCAAAGAAATTTTTTAAAAATATAATATTTTTAAAACATGAAACTTTCAAATCAGTAACACCGTTTTTATTGACTTTTTTTTTTTTTTTTTTAATTTAATTTGTTGCTAATTGTTGTAATGGGCCTATTATGCAAAAATTACTTTTTGTAAGGGGTTTAAACAGTTGTGTGGCAACAGTGTGTGAATATAGCCAGCCTTTATGGTAAACAATGATTAATTCTATTTTTTACAATCACGCCTAATTAAAAACTGCAGAAACACTTTTGCTGAGGACGTACAGTACTCATACTATCTACAGTTCCCTTGAACCGTGCTGATGCACGCCTGTCCCCCCTTCCCTCTCCCCGGCCTGCACTCACATTGCATCCGAGCCGGAGCATGCTTAAGTCAACGTGATGCGCTGCTCAGTTTAACTGAAGAGAAGCGCTCTCGTTCAGCACAGTGGAGATTGCTTTAGTTATATCGTTTTAGTCGTTTGGGATGCAGTGACACACAGTCAAATATTTTGCTGAACAGATCAGTCAATTTTGCCACTCATAAATAATCATAAAAGTCCTCGTGCTGCACGGATAAGAGATTTGCTGAAGGTGGAGTTGACGTGCAGGGAGGGGGTTTGCGTCTTTAATAAAATATGACAGCTCGCTTTCATTGAACAGTAAGAATGATTTATAAATCCATATGAAACAGTCCCTTAAAGTGATGTCGCATCTTCAGTTTTGGGCTCAGGCACGCTTTGCACTCACACTACAAACGCACCACGCCAAAGCCCAATCAAACCGTGCTCTGGCACACCTCTTCCAACCACACTAGGGCCGGCCAACTGAACCTCTCCTGAGCCCGATTCGGAGCACTCTGCGCCCTGACATTCTGCCTTTGTACATGACATCCACAGCAGGAAAGCCTCACCCTTTAGCGACAATCTCTCCTTCATTAGCTTAGACAGCCCTGAGTGAGAAGCAGCCTCCCGCCAATACAGTTTTTGCACTGTATCTGCTGAAGATCTAAATGATTAATTATAAATGTGGAGTTTTGTCTCCAGAAATGACCTTGATCTGATTTTTTTTTTTTGTTGTTGTTGACATTTTCAGTTTTTCACAGAGATAATCTTAGACATGTTTTTGAATCTGCTGCTTTGGTGACACACAGGCTTATATATCCCTGCCTTCTTTTTAAAAGAAGTGCTGGGATCACAGTCTCGTGTAAATTTAAAGCGACAGTCAACAAAATGGTTGAAAGCCTAAAAGGGGTGCTTTCAAAGAGTAAAAAAAATATTTGTGTGATATTTAGTGCTAAAACTTTACATATGACATCGTGACAACAAAGACTTATTTTACATCTTGTAAAAAGAGTCATGAAAGCTCCCCTTTAAGCACATGCAATTTCTTGCCAGATGTAACCTTTAGTTGAAAATAAAACAAATATTCTGCAAAACATATTTACATAACAAAAAGTCAAATTTCTCTGCTTCTCTGAATTAATTTCTAAAGAACTGCTAAATTTAATTGCAGTATTTAAGGGAAGTACATTATAAGTAACTTTAATATGTTTAATAATGAATAGTAATCAGTGGTTAAGTAATTTAATTACAGTAAGTAGTTACCTTGTAAATGATTACATCTAACCCTGTTGACAACCTCATTGAATTTCAAGTAGTGAGAAATGCATTTATAACAAATCCAAGCAGTGAGTAGAGAAGCAAAGTGAACATACACTGTTATAAATGATTAATAATACATATTAAATACGTGTCAGTTTTTTATGCACAGAATGAAAAGTGTGACTTCTTCAAATCTTCACTCATTTATGTTGCCAGATCTTGCTTAAAAAAATGCAACCAAGAGCAAGTCAAAAGAAATCCAAACTACTTGCATTGAAAATAAAAGGAAAAGGTCATGATGACCAATGCATCTGACTTAAACATCGTAGCAGTCATACTAGCTGTTCGTATAAGACTGACATCTCATAGTTACTTTTGAAGCATCTATTGACATTGTAGAATTAAGCTTAGAATGTCTCTCTCATCATGTTTTTTTTTTATTATTATTTTAAAAAATTTCTTTTTTTGTATTTTTTTGTACTTGACCGCTTTCAAAAGTTACAGACCTCAATTTGTCTGGTTGTTTTTTTACTGCAGCAAACAAACTTTTTTTTTTTTTTTTTTGAAAGTTGAAGACATATTTGAAATAATGTTATTTGCTATCGGAAAGTTATGTTTTTGTTAACACAAAGTTGCTATACAACAGAGACATGCATATTCAAGGCCAAAGTAGCAGACGCTGAAATGCATGTGGTTGATTTCAACGTTATGGCCATTCAAGGTAGAAATACGCAGAACAACTTTTGTGTATTGTAATTTTAAAAAAAAATTATAAAAATGTTAGATTAAAATATAAACACATTTAGGAAAAGTCAGTGTACTATAGTTATAAGGGTCTTATTTTAACAAAGATACTCAAATATAAAAAATACTAAAATCAAGTGATAATGCCTCAAGAAAATGTATTGTTTTATGAGACAAGTCTAAACCTCAAACATTTTAGAGGCCCCTAGCATAATGTTGTTTAGTTGCTATATTAGTTTGGTCAAAAACAGTGGAATGACACTGTTATCATTCTGGGGTCAGCTATCCCTTTGGAGAAGATTGTGTACTTAGTGTCATCATTTTTTTTATGTCATCCTCAAATTGTTCTAAACCATTTCTTTAATCTGCTGAGCACAAAAGAAAATATTTAAAGAATGTTGAAAACAAACCGTTTTGCTTCCCATTGAGTTTCATTTGATCTGTTTACTGTAAATAAGTTGGAAATCAATGGGGACCAAATCATCAAGAACATTCTTAAGAATATTGTTTATCTTGCACAGAAGAAAAAAAAGGTATTCGGGTTTGAAAAAACATGATTTTTATGGGATTTTCCTCACTGTTTACTCCAAGGAGTCCACGGGGTCTTAAAAAGTCTTAAAATGTCTTAAATTTCAAAAACTACATTTTAGGCCTTAAAGTCACAAAAATTTTGTCTTGTAGGCCTTTAATTTAAACAATTTTAAAAGCTAGGTCTTAATTGTAATTTCTTTATGAAAATTTACCTAATCGTTTCAACGCATCCAATCACCAACAATATGAAATCTCAATAAACCTTTTAACAAAACGCTATTTATAATATATACTATAACAGTTTGTTTTGCATACATTTAGTTTATTTACTTTTTATTTTTAAAGAGTTTTTTTTATTTGCATGTATACAACAAGGGTCTGTTTGTTTTGACACATTATTTTAAATATATGGCTAAGAAATAACTCATTAAAATTCTTTTTTGATGGGGCAAGTAATTAAATTCTGTTGGGCCATTTAAAAAATCCTTAGCAATAAGCCCTATATAAGTCTAAAATTGATTTCTTGATGGTCCTAAATTCTTAAATGTAACTTGGTGAAACCTGCAGAAACCTTGTTTCTGAACTTTGTTAAAAAAAAATTCGGTTGAACACTAAGATGATATTGTAAAGAATGTTGAAAATCAACAGCCTTTGACATCCATGACAGGAAGACAATTTCCGATGTAAGTCAATATCTAAACTAGTCAAACTTTACTTTTTTGTATTAACAGAAGAAAGAAATTCAAATAGGTCTGAAAGAAGTGGAGGATGAATTTAGGATGACAGATTTTTTTTTCTACTCCAAGCTAGATGTTTCAGACTTCAGTCGTTCAAGACATGGTTTTGTGTATTTATGACCATCTTAATGTACATGTATCAGCTGAAAATAAATTTAGCCTGATGTTGTTTCCGTGTGTTTTTTTTTTCCTGTGCAGTCCACTCAGGCGCTTAATTGCTTTCATTCATATTTGTGCCTGTAAAACTAGCACTTAAGTGCTATAAATTGTTGTTGTTGTGATGTTTTCCTGCGGGCACACATGAGGCAAACAGACTTGAGATCCCAGCATGTGAACCATGAGTAATACTTCTCACACCTCACCCACCTGGTTAATTTGCCTTTTTCAGAAACAGTAAGAAAACAAAAAAGAGGAAAAAACTGCTTGAAGAGTGGATGTCACAGCAGGACACAGTGTTTAGTTTATCTTGAAAGTAGATGAAATCTTCGTCTGCAAATCTATTGTTTATTTTAATAATCTGTACAGATGATATATCCAGTCAGCATTTTTTTAAATTAAGTTTTTATTTCTGGACAGACTCATGGAGTGAGAAGCCAGCGTTTGGGACAGCTCTGGACGAGCACCTGAAGCGCAGCAGCAGAGAGATTGCTCTGCCCATAGAGGCATGTGTCATGATGCTACTGGAGACTGGAATGAAAGAGGAGGTACATGAAATATATTAGAAAATATTTTTGCATAATTTACTATGATTAAGCATGGGACAATATTCAGTTTAAAATTCAGTTTACCGTTTCAAAATATTATAAATGTTTCCTAAAATAAAATATATTGTGTTCAATGGTGGAAAATGTGTTTTTGTTTTTCCCCAGACATTTAAAAAGAACTTATTTTAGAGCAGTAATCTCAATATTGTGAAACCGTGATATTTTTATCCAAGGTTATCATACCCTTGATAACTTATACTAGCCCATGCCTAACTGCGGTATAAAGATGCAGGAATGTTTAATAAAAGAGTTAGTTCACCTAAAATTAAAATGACTCCATGATT